AGACAGGGCTGTGTGCTGTCACCGCTCTTATTTAATTTATATTCAGAGGCTATCTTCAAAGAAGCTCTAGAAGGAATCGAATGTGGAATTAAGATTAACGGGAAAGTGATCAATAATATCAGGTATGCCGACGATACAGTTGTGCTGGCCGAGAATGAACAAGATTTGCAGAGGCTAATGAATGAATTAGTTCGGCATAGTGAAAACTGCGGTGTCCTCATAAATACCACAAAAACGAAGGTTCTTGCATTCATCAAAACACCTGTGCAGATTCACCTGGATATCAACGGTGACCCAGTAGAGCAAGTGTCTTCATACAAGTATTTGGGGTGTATTGTAAATGATCAATGCGACCCGAAGAAAGAAATTAGAAGCCGCATAGAACAAGCTAGAAAAACATTTATAAATATGAGACAATTTTTCACAAGGTCAGATTTGAGTTTGGAGCTACGGGTACGCATGGTCAGATGCTACATTTTTCAGTTCTATTATAACCTATAATTTGGCAAGACTTTGACAAGCGTCAAAAATGACAAAAATCTAAAGGCGAGTTCATACGCATCGGTGTCCGTTTGTCGTTCATCGTTCCGTCAAACCAATATAAATGAAATACGATCTGTCATTTTTTAAATAAACCCAGAATAAACCAATAAAACTGGTTAAAAACAACGAGACACGACGTATGACGGATTTATATTTAAACCCATCCATAGATAACTTAAAAATTATTAGAAACTTTTTTTAGCAAAATAAATAGATTGGTATGGGACGTCATCTGCTTTTCTTCTGTCATCGTCTGTCGAAATCTTACCTGAGAAAAAAAAACAGAGTATAGATGGTTTGGTTGCTCATCAATCGACATATTTCGTATGGCTGTATCTAGAATGACGTTAGCTATTTGGATCGCCAGCCTTCGAAAGGAGACGGCGTCGTAAGAAGAAGAAGTGCCTATTAATTAATTATCTATAAAATATTATCGAAAGTTTTAAATAATTAACAGCGAAAGACATTTTCTTTGTTTATTAAAAAGTTTTAATAAGTTTTCAGTTCAATCGGCCAACAAAGAAAAGAATTCCCTTTCAGTATGTCAAAAATATCAACCCCTCAAGTTAAAAGTAATTTATAAAGGGATTTTGACGGAAGTGGAAAATTTTCCGTTCGGCTTTATGACGATCGACCAATAACTTTCTACACGACAGGCGCTGTCAGAGAAAAAAACGAAGGGAAAACGCCCCCACCAGAAAATTACTGAAACTAATTACATTTTCCACCTTGATAAGGGCGCGTAGTGGCGTTCTTCTGAAATTGAATCAATTTTTTCTATATAATGCTTATTTCAAGCGTATTTACGCGAAGGGGTGAATGAAGTTTGTATTGATCAGACGATTTGTGTGGACACTGAAGGGTAAATATAAAAAAGTGCGTGGTAGAAATCAGATACTCCGATAAGAAGTTTAATGAACCTTATAGTATTCATTTCTTTATATTTCTTACTATTTTTTTTAATATACAAGGTGATCCGAACTGTAGTCTGGAAACTTCAGCAGCATATTCTGGAGATAAAAAGATATGTACTAAAATGCTTAGTTTAGGAGATATAGGGTGTAGAAGTTTCATTTTTATTTCGATTTTTTCCAAATAATTTCTGAAGTTACGTCAATATTTGGATGAAAATTGGTGTCTGGGAATTTTTTGACATGAGAAATTTGATTTTGATGTCAATATGATTCCTACTTCTAGAGGGCGCCATCTACATATTTTTAACTAGTTTGAAGAGTAATAACTTTTCGTCCATACTTGTATAAAACTCCTGAGTGAAAAAAAAAATACATTTCCGTGATTTTCTACGTAAAAATGTCTCTTGGTAAAAATCGCTACGAGCAACCGTTCTCATGATATTTAAAATGGAAATAGTCAATACAAGTCATTAATGGCAAAAATAAACATGTTGAGAAGATAGTTAATATAGTTATTTGACTGAAATGATAAATTTGATTTTTTTTAATTAATCATAAATTTTCTTCGAAAAAATGATGATAAAACAGTTGGCACAAAAACCTTTCAAATTTATAATTTCAATCTAATAACTATTTAGTCAACATGTTTAATTTATGTCAATGATGACAGATATTGATAATTTCGATTCCAAATATCTCAAGAACCATTACTCGTAGGGATTTTTACAAAGAGACCTTTTTTACGAAAAAGTCGTAAATGTATATTTTTTTACTCGGTAGTTTTATACAGGTACGGACGAAAAGTTATTTCTTCAAGCCAGATAAAAAAATATGTAGGTGGCGCCCTCTAGAAGTAGGAGTCATATTGACATCAAAATCAAATTTTTCATGCCAAAAAACTCCCACACACCAATTTTCATCCAAATATTGACCATATTTCAAAAATTATTTGGAAAAAATTAATCTTCTACACCCTGTATCTCCAAAAGTAAGCATTTTAGGACATACCTAATTTATAGGAACTTTTGCTGCAGAAGTTTCCGGAATACAGTTCGGACCACCCTGTATACAATTCAATATGTTGATACAGTTGCATTTTATAGCAAGTATTTAATCAAAGAATACATAGAAAATTGAAAATACTCTGTATGTTATGGTTTTATGAGATGTCTTGTTTTTTATTATTTAAAATAACTTATTTTATTTATAGTTATAACTGACATCGTACCTAAAATATTTCTATTAATATACAGAGTGATTCTTAAATAAGTGCAAATCTTTTATGCAATTTCCAAAAAAATTATGTTTTGCTTAAATTTTGAGAACCACTGGATCTTCTCTGGGTTTTCTTTCTTGTAGATTTAATCTATTACCTATGTTGCCATATTATCAAGAAATTATGGCTTTTATAAAACTAAAAAAAAATTCAACATTTTCCTTAAAAAAATCCAAATTTTCTAAATTTTTTTTCGTGAAAAAACCTCATAATCGTGATTCTGGGGTCGAAATATACTAGCCCTAAAAATATTTGCATTTGTTTAAGACTCACCCTGTATAAACAAACACACTGAATGAATGAAACAAAACTGAAAATTTTAAGGTCTTGTATTTATGACACTCTACCATTTAAAGTGCTAGAATTCTGTACAAACAAGGGAAATAAAAATAATTTACAAAAAAAAAAGTTTTTTTGTCTCAAAATCTTAAAACCGCCCCACTGTTGAATATACGATAGCCCTCTGCTGCCGGAATATTCCAGAATTTATATAAGTATAAAGGAAAAATATGGCTAGAATATTTTTACCACGAACGCGAAACTGAATATAAGGCCTCTTATCCTAGTTTATGTTTCAAAACCGAATTTATATATAAATTTGGTACCTCGCCTATATACATACATATCATTTTACCAAATACTTTTCGTAAAATATACTTTTTGCCGACCATACCAACAGGTATGGTAGGCTATTAAGATCGGCAAAAAAAAAGTTTTTTTTAATTTCACTCAAAATGAGTTATTTGGATCATAAATGACCTAAATACAAAATATTATAATATTATACTAGTGTCTGTCTGTCTGTCTGTCTGTCCGTCTGTAACACGATAACATAAAAACGGCTAAACCGATTTTAACCAAATTTAGCACAAAGATACTGTGGCATCCGGGGATCTGGCCATTAGTTTTTGGTGGGGGTGGGGGTTTGGTAAGTGGGTATGGGAGGGGGTTAAAAATTTAAAAAAATCGTAACTCCAAAATTACAGTAGCTAGCGAAACGCGGTTTTCAATTTAAGATTAGGAATAATATTTGCAACAAAATTTGTAATAACATCAAAATCAGTCAAAGTCGTAGTTTTTGAGATATTCCGTGTTTCCGTAGTCCGTTTTTTAACATATTTTAGTACGGGCGGCTATACGTGCCTCCCGGCGCTAATTTTTTTCTATTATATGTAGAGATGAGTAATAATAGTATATTTCAAAATATAGGGTTTGCAAGTATAAAGTATGCCCAAAGATAATTCTACTATATAATATTCTTTGGTCTGAGACGGCTGGGAATGAGTCGATGTCAATTTTGTCGAGGTCAAACCCTAGGCGTCATTTTCTTGGCGCGTACTCTGTATTTTTAAATGGCGTTTACTGCCCGTTGGCCTTAATAATAATAATAATGAATTTTTATATCGAGTAAAAATTTTTAAACGGTGTAGTTTAAAAATCGAGAGAAATAATTTCTTGCAAATAGATTTGTGTGTCTGGAAAGATTCCATCCTTTTCTAATATTTCTATAACTAGTGTTAATTTTTAAAAAGTTTTATGTCAATTTTTAGTAAATAACGTCTAGAAATTAACCTCTCTAAAATTAACATCAATTGTCATTCCTCAGCCGTCTTTGACACTGTTTTTTTTTTCGACCATACGGTACAATTTACCTGTGAGTTAAAATGACAGATAAGGACTGTCACTGTCAGCCTCACACACAGGTGTTCGTTGAACAGACTTGAGTTAAATAATTATCTTTTATTTTTGTACCAGTGCCATAACCAATAAGACAGTGCATTACGATAAACAAAAAGAAAATAAAAAATTATTTTGTATATTTTGCGGACGTTTTAGCCAGGTGTGCCGAATATTTTCTACAGTATGTCCCCGGATTTGAGGAAAAATTTTTTTATTATTAACATTTTGAAAAAATGCATTACAGTTGGGCTTTGGCACAGTTCATTTTCATTTTACCTTGGACGCGCGTTTCGCTAACCATCATCAGCAGATGATTAAAGCTGAGTAAAAAATCAAAACGCGTTTCTATAGTAATACAATTTTTCTTCTTTTCATTCATTGATAGAATTTTAATTAACGTCATATTTTTTGCTGTTTTAAATATAACTGCATAACTGAGATTAACCATTTTAGAACAAGCAAATTTTTCTCAAAATGTCAATAATAAAGAGGTTTTCCTCTTGTAAAAACAATCCGGGGACATATTGTATATTTATAATGAAAGTTAGTTTAAAAACGAGAGAAATAAAAAAATAGAATTGACTTACATTTCAGCTTGGGCTTCCTTCTCCTTCTCCTCCTGCACTGTAACAGTGGTGGGGGGAGGAGGCAGATCCTCCATAGGCAAAGTATCCTCCGGTGGGGTGGGGGGAGTTTTATCGAATTCCGCCATCGGAGCTTGGGAGTTTTGTTCCGGCATGGGCGAGACGGAGTTGCTCTCCATTTTCTTGATTGTATTTCCCAGGCTTTTGCCGAATTTGAAGTCAATTAGACTCGAGATAGAGAGGGAAAATTTTGCTGAATATTTTCGCCGAAAATAAGTTTTCCAGCTCTAAGTCAATTGTCGAGTTTTGCACTGTCTTCGTTAAATTCACTGGAACTGAAACCTGAAACGAAATAGGCAACTTTAGTATGTGGCAATAGAATACAAAGTATTTTCTAAACTACCAAATTTAGTTTTTCTTCATAAACTGAATTTTTTGGGAGTTTTTTTGTTAATCGTATTTTATCGATGATTGATTGACAGAATAATAACATAAATCTGGATTGATTGACGTATTCCATTGTTTTCGGTCACTTCCTGTTTCACCGCAAAATTACTACAACTTGATTTTTAAATAACATCCTTGGATTTTTTTACTTTATTTGATAGAAAATGACACTCTGAATTAAATGACATACCATATGTCAACTTTTGATCTTGATTAATAAAAAATCGTACTCATAGACAAACAAATAAAAAGAGACTGACAAATCTCATGGTAAAGAGTGGGACCGCGTTCCCGTAGCGCAACTCAGAATAACAATTTTGAAACCAATTAGCACGACCATGGCAGGACGTACGTCTTTATTGCTATCTTTCTTTATTATGTGTGCTTTATATGAAAAAAAAAGAGATAGGTATAAAACGTATCGTAAGACATTATCGCACATTCTGGCTGGCGGAAAATTTAAATTAGCCATCATTAGTAGTATTCTTTCATTTTGAAACTGAAAATTTTCACTTAACTGATTTATTCCCATACCACGTAAAGGGAACGTGGTGTAGGGAATAAATCAGTTTAAGTGAAAATTTGCAGTTTCTTTCAGAACGAAAGAATATTACTATTATAAGGGAAATTATAAAAAAAAGCAAAAATTGTATTGTTTTACAAGCATATCTATTTATACATAAAAATAAATAAACTTTTTATAATATAATAACAAAAAATAACAGTGTTTATTCCACCCACCTACCAATTTTAAATGCAGAAGAACTGACTGTTGCAGGAAACGATCGGTCAATTTTTTAAAGGGCATTAAAAATCTCATTTTCGAAAAAACTGCCTAATTGCAATAACAAAGTGAATATCCAAGCAAAGAAGACTTTACGAGAATCATGATCCTGAACCATTTTCAAGTCCAGTTTTAATCCTAAAACAAAAGTAAAATAGGTATATTAATAAAGTTTCTGGTTACTATAAACCAGCTATAAACTACTTACCCAAAAATGAAAAAAATTAATTGTATTAATTTGTTATGTTAAGAGAGGTTCCAAATATTTTTGACACTACTACTTCTACTTTTTTCTTAATAAAATGATAAATATAACTACTTACTTTTATTTTACCGGGTGTCTTTAACATATCTATCAGAGAAAGGGAGGGGGCACCAATACATATAGAAAATAGATGATACTGGCTCCTGCAGCAAATAAAATAACAAAGAGTATAATCTAAAATTATAAGTAACAAAATATAAATACCTATATGGAACAAAGAAATTTGTTCCCTATCCATATTCATAAGTCAATAAAATGGAGAGATTAGAAAAAAAGGTAAATCACCAAAAGAAAAATTAACAAACATGAGGAATTGTCATGATGTTGTCATCTTGGTTGTCATGGTGACGAAAACGAAAGGCGATTTTTCTAATTTCTATTTAGAAATTACGTTTTATATGGCTGCTTCTTTCTTTCTTGTTATATTAGAATGAGATAGTGGGCCCAATAGACACAATTCGCAGATCAACATAAATAGAACGAAATTTTGCGTTCTGAGTTGCGCTACGGGAACGTTGTCCCTCTCTTTGCCATTTAATTTGCCAGTCTCTTTTTATTTGTTTGTCTATGATCGTACTGTAAATTTCAATCTAAAGTGCGAATGCTGTGTTATACGTTATACATTAATTTTTAATAAAGAAGCTTTGGAAAAATGGATTTGATCGTCTGGTGTTTTTCGCGTCTTGTCCTGGCTAGCGATTCTGTAAACATATTTCCTGTCTAGTGACTCATCAATCGTATACAAATACCATAGGCTAGACAGGAAATTTCTTGTTACGGAGCTTACAGAATCCCACTGCTGGTCGGTTACAAGATGCCCAAATCGTATATCTAATCATAAATCTCAATTTTTTTCAAATGGAGCTCATTAGCATATTCGGAAAAATCATTTTTACGAATAATTGGGTAACACATACTTGGTAATTCCAGTCAAATTGTCGTTATGAACACAGATTGACATTCAAGATTGGAATTTAAAATACGATTTTTTTAAGCGATAATGGGCCTGATGAATAAAGAGAAGCAATTTCTTTTTCTATAGAACTATCTTTGTTGTTTGTTTACAAATTGTATAAGTCTCTTTCAAGAAATTTAAGTAAAAGCATTTGCTTAACTTTTATTGATAAGACCCAATGTCAAAAGTTGACATATGATTTATCATTCTATTCAGAGTGTCATTTTCTATCAAATAAAGTAAAAAATTGCATCAATCAATCCAGATTTATGTCACATACTAACATACCAAATCTCGTTTTTTTATCTGAAAAAATTAAAAATTTATATGGGTTAACCGGTACTTTTGAGAAACACCCGGTATTTCAAATTTCAATATCTTTATAGTAATGAGTACGGTATTTTTGCACTATTTTTTGTTCAATTTATATTCTATAATGTCTAGTAAGTCACGGATTTACAGTGAACATCAATTGTAATTATTCTTTATTAAGATTATATTATTATTTATTAATGTAGAGTTTCAAATCTAATTTATTTAAAATTTATTTCCTGTATAATTTTTTTCTAATAATTTTTCCGATATTTTAATAGATATTCTGCTCTTCGGGGCAGATACAAATCCAACGAAATATTAAAATCAGATCATTAAAATCGGTCTAGCCCTTCTTTTAAGCTATAAATGTTCTAACTAACCCAATTTTGTTTTATTCATTTAAATTAATTGAGTCAATAAATTCAACTGAATATATCAGAACTAGATCAATATTTAACCTATAAACGGGTAATGCATCAGCGTATAGTGAGTATGGGGCTTAAATCGAATCTATTAAATGCATTCACATGTTATGTGCTTAATACAATTATTGTCAGATCAAATAAATCAGGAAAACCCAGAATATTACAACATGAAAAGAAAATATTAGTTTACACAAATTAAATAAAAGGAATATTATTACACTTTACCTTTAATAATACACCCATTATCAATTATCACAATAACAAAACTTCGAAAACGAACCAAAACAACATCGAGGCGTCTTTACCGGTAGTCTAAAATCGATTATTATCTAACACCTCTCTCCAACTCCGTTTTTCGTCAAATTCCCCTCTCCCTAGTTTGCGTATAAATATTTTAAAAATCAATAATTATTTATGTATATTCGAGTAATAAAACACCAAATCACCACAATACACCAAAACACTTTTCCTATTACACTGGACGCGCGTTTCGCTAACCATGTTAGCATCATCAGCAGATGATTATAACTCAAGTTTTAATCATCTGTTGATGTATTGGCTGATTGCTGGTGTATTGTGGTAAATTAGTGTTTTATTTTGCTGTGTAACACCAGGTTCCAACCCCCAACTGGAATTAATATATTCGAGTATCTCAAAATTTAAAAAAATATATACAGGGTGGTCCGAACTATATTCTGCAGATAAAAATAAGTAGAAAAGTTCGTATAAATGTATGTCCCAAAATGCTTCGTTTCGGAGATACAGGGTGTAGAAGTTTCATTTTTATTTTGATTTTTTCCAAATAATTTCTGAAGTATCGTCACTATTTGGATGAAAATTGGTGTCTGGGAATTTTTTACATGAGAAATTTGATTTTGGCGTCAATGTGACTCCTACTTGTAGAGGGCGCCATCTACATATGTTTTAACTGGTTTGAAGAGTAATAACTTTTCTTCCGTACCTGTATAAAACTACTGAGTAAAAAAATATACATTTACGACGCTTTTTACGTAAAAAAGGTCTCTTGGTAAAAATCGCTACAAGTAATGGTTTTCGAGATATTTGGAATCGAAATTAACAATCTGTCATCATTGACATAAATTAAATATGTTGACAAAATAGTTATTAGACTGAAATCATAAATTTGTAATGTTTTTGTGCCAAAAGTTCAACAGAAACTGTTTTATCATCATTGTTTCGAAGAAAAATTTATGATTAATTAAAAAAAATTCCCAAATTTATCATTTCAGTCAAATATCCATCTAACTCAACATGTTTATTTTTTGTCAATAATGACATGCATTGACTATTTCCATTCGAAATATCTTGAGAACGGTTTCTTGTAGCGATTTTCACCAAGAGACATTTTTTACGTAAAAAAATACGGAAATGTATATTTTTTCACTCAGTAGTTTTATACAGGTACGGACGAAAAGTTATTACTCTTCAAAACAGTTAAAACACATGTAGGTGGCGCCCCCTACAAATAGAGTCATATTGACATCAAAATTAAATTTCTAATGGGAAAACACTCCCAGACACCAATTTTCATCCAAATATTGACATTACTTTAGAAATTATTTGGAAAAAATCGAAATATAAATAACTTCTACACCCTGTATCTCCGAAACGAAGCATTTTAGGACATACATTTATAAGAACTTTTTGACTTATTTTTTTCTGCAGAATATGCTGCTGAAGTTTCCGTAATACAGTTCGGACCACCCTGTATATATTTATTTTTAAAAAAACTCAAAATTTAAGTGAGGATGCAGTCAATAATCACCACATAGGCTAATAAAACTACTTTTTCAAATTTGTCAAGCTTTCGAGAATTTATTTTTAAATAAGCGGGTCTCTCCAACGTGCACATTGAGGAACTGTCCGTTCATGAAATGACATAAATAAACAACTTGTAGGTAACAAAATAATTCAATTATTATTAAATAAGATATGGAACGTATAAAAATAAACAAAGTGGATAACAATAGAATACAGTTAATTATTTTTAAGTGGGAATTAGAAAAAATAAAAAAAGTCGAAGTAAATTTTACTTTCTTCCACAAAACCATTAAATGTATAACAAAATAAGCAATTTTATTTCTGTATGTAACAATAATAGAATACACTTAATTATTACTAAGAAAGAAATAAGACGTAAAAGAGGATGAAGTAAAATTTTAATTAGCACTTTCGTTATACTTCCTTCTCGAGATTTTGTCTTATTTAGTAGAAAGTAAGCGCGGGTAAAGTAGGAAAATAATTGAAATAAATAAAATAAACCTATTCCGGCTTTACGTAATTTATAATCGTTAGCGCCATCTGCTTGCTCCGTTTTAAATCGAGATTAATCTTTCCGAAAAAAAAATAAATAAAAAGCCAAATAAACGTAATAAAAAAGATGTGTGGTTTAAAGAAAAATATAAGATAAACAAGGATGTACCGTTTGATCGAAAAAAAACGGCGTCAAAGACGGCTAAGGAATGACAATCAATGATAATTTTGGCGAGGTCAATTTCAAAAAGCTCAATAAAAATTGACATAAACCTTCAAACCGTCAAAAATTAACACTAATTAATTATAGATGGACAAAACTATAGATATATCTCCAAGTTTTTTTTCAAACGTCACAAAAGTAGGTATTAATTTTTACGACGTTATTGGTAATATAAAAAAGTAATTTTAACGCCTAGGCATTAAGGTATTATAACCATTCTATGTATAAAGTATGGTTATTCTCGTTGAATTTGACACTTTATATCAGTTTAATAATAGGTAAATTTTCTTACTTTTATGCTTAGGGGTAAAAGTGCTTTACTTTTATGCCTAGGCGTCAAAATAACTTTTTTATATTGTTAATCACGTCCCAAAAATTAACGCTTTTGTGACATTTGAAAAAAAAATATTTTATTTGGAACGTTTAAAATTGAAAAATACAAAATTTTCATTTTTAAATGAGTAGATAAGCAAGGGGAATTCGGCCGCAAAATCCCATGCTTTTTCTTATGAAGGTCCATTCTGTCGTTTTTGGTACCCAAGTGGTGGGGGTAATTTTTCTGACGGAAGTAGGCGTGGCCTAGGAATGGGTAAAGGGGCGGGGCGAGCTTCATAAGTAAAAGATAAGATTTTGCCGGCGAATCAAAATTGAAAAGGCGTTACCTGTACAACCAATGAGAAAGCCCAGAACCTAGAGGGAGGAGTTATCTATGACCAATCAGAAAGCAAATAAATCTTACGTCATACGTTGGGTGGGGGGCGTTGGCACCTGGGGTCTAAGCTGTCTCAAAGGTATAGATCACGTAATGAACGACGTTCGTACACAAGTCAAATACCATATACGAGCGCCATTCATCATATGCCATATACCTAACACCTAGTCCTGCGCCCTCAGGAGGCCCCCAACATATAGGTTAATTAAATTAAATTTTTATTAGCGCATCCACCATTTTGTCAAGACTGTTTAGTAATTTAATAAAAATGTTAGCACATTCATCATCATTTTAATAAGACTTAATAATTTATCAAAAATAAAATAATAGCGTAGATTAAAAATATTATTTACTTACACAATAGCTATTCCGTCTACATCAGCTCTGTTTAGGAGGAGGAGGATACGGCGGCAGCAGCGGCGGCGACGGCGCAAGGTAAGTACCTATAGATATTAACAATAAGACCTAATAAGCGCAAAGTAATTAGATGTAATTCAAAAGGAAAAAGTTTAGGTAAACAAAGTTGACTTCGGCAAACATCGGTTGGTATCGTAAGCGCGTTGGGGTGTGGCACTGTCTTTTGTAGCGCGCACGCAAGCCCCACTAATTAATAGTTTATAGGATAGTTTAGCAAAAATAGTAATAAAATATATACGTATAGCTAAATGATTTATTATAAAAACATAACGATTAATTAATTTAAGAGTATTGGGAATCAAAACAAAGATTAAATGTCAAACGCCAACTATGTCAACTAGGTGTGGCTCTAAGCGCAAGCTCCAAAGTAAACCGAAAAAATTCAAAAATATGTACATATTATAATGCAAAACATAACGATTGTGGGGGGTATTGAAATTAATTTAAGAAACCAAAAGACATTTCTTTACTAAAAGATTAAAAGTATTAAGTCAAACGTCAAATGTCAACTAGGTGTGGCGCGCAAGCTCTGAAATAAACAGAAAAATTTTTAAAATCTAATGCAAAACATAACGATTAATTTTAAGAGTATTACACCAAAAGACATTTCTTTACTAAAAGATTAAACGTCATCTGTCAAACATTGACGCTAAAATTACTAGGTGTGGCGCGCAAGCTCCAAAATAAATAGAAAAAAATTAAAAATCTAATGCAAAACATAGCGATTAATTAATTTAAGAGCATTAAACAAAAAGGCATTGTTAAAAACAGAGATTAAACGTCATCTGTCAAACATTGACGTCAAAATCGACGCTAGGTGTGGCTCTAGGCGCAAGCTCCGAAATAAACAGAAAAATTTTAAAAAAATATGTACAAGTACTTAACGCTATAAGAATAAAATTTAGAGATGAGACTAAAAAGCAAACAATTCTGAGAATCTAACAATAAAAATAATTAATTTAAAAGTATTAAATCAAACGTCAACTATGTCAACTAGGTGTGGCTCTAAGCGCAAGCTCCAACAGAAATTTTTTTAAAAATATATACAAGGACAATAGCCCATCGTTTAACTTCGGTAAACATCGCTGCAGTCAAACGTCAAAATCAGCGCGCCAAAAAAAACTAGGTGTGACGCGCAAGCTCCGAAATAAACAGAAAAATTACAGCAAGTACTTAACGCTATAAGAATAAAATTTAGAGATGAGACTAAAAAGCAAACAATTCCGAGAATCTAACAATAAAAATAATTTAAAAAAGTATTAAGTCAAACGTCAACTAGGTGTGGCTCTAAGCGCAAGCTCCAACAGAAATTTTTTTAAAATATATACAAGGACAATAATAGCGGTAAACATCGCGGTCAAACGTCAAAATCAGCGCGCCAAAAATCACTAGACGGCGGTAGAAATAAACAGAAAAACCCTTTGTAATGTAAAAAACTTTAATATTTATCGAAACGAAAATAAATTTAAGAGTATTAAATCAAAAAACAAAGCGTATTACTAAAAATACGTACTTACGAGGTTTATATGTATTATTATCCAGCCACTCAACACATGCACTTACACCCTTTTTTTCTTCTTCAATAGCCCTTTTCACTAAACGCACTGAAAATACACAGTAATTTTCTTGATGCAGTACCATGAAAAGTTAGAAACAAACAGATGATTTTGTAGCTAAAAATATAATGTGAAGGCCGAATGACAGACAGGAAACTGATAACACCAGTACTTGGAATATACGAGGTGTGTAGAATAAGGTTAATATACGAGGTGTGTAGCTAATTTAGTTGGTTGCTTTCGTAATAATAATTTTACTACAAAAACAATCTTAAGCCCCAACGCCGCGTCAAGGCATAGCTACATTGCTGGGGGGCTATCACCTGTCAAACGTCAAACGTCAAACCTGTCATCTGTCAAACGTTAAACCTGTCACCTGTCAAACGTTAAACCTGTCAAACGTCAAACCTGTCTTACGTCATTTTTTTATATTTTTTAGTGTATTTTATTTAGAGTATTTTATTCAATATATTTTAGCTTACTATATTTTTATATTGTATACAAATTTAGACGTTTTATACTATGTCTACTGTTTGATTTAAGCTTTTCAATAGCTGCATTCAAATTTAGTAATTTTTTCCTAACATAAATAATTAGTTTTATTATATATATTTATTTTACACATGTATTTAACAGTAATACTGAAAAACATTTTTCAATCTTTTTTGTATTGTACAAGACTGATTATATAAAAAAATGATTTAGAGTATTCTAAATAAAACAATTTTTTCATTTCACTGTGTATTTATGTTCCACATTTCTCTCATCTAGTAAATTATAAAAAATAGGTAAATTAGACTTAAACAAAAATATACATTCATCTTCCCAATCAATATAAGTTTTCCATTTCCTATCTTGAATTATCAGCACTTTCACTTCTTCTTCAAAAGCATAAGTTATGTTTAAATGCCCATCAATTTCTATAGATTTATCACACCAACCACTATTAACGTTTTCATCAACAAAGTCCAGAAACGTTGAAAAACCTTCATATGACATTTGAATCTTCTTCTTCTCCTTGTTTGTACTTTGGAAAATAATTTGCTTTTCTGCCAGGTTCTCGGAAATGTTTAATGCTACATTAATTATTGGTTCTAATACACTTGATTTATCCATAACGATTTGATGATGAGAGCGATGTGAACAAGACAATGGTTTACAATAGAATGAGCTAATAAGTAAAAAATACTAGATATTAATAGATTTAAATTTATTGAGTTAAAAGGTTTATAATATAATCATATAATATATGAGCATTATTTACAGTACAAGAACATATTTCTAGTTAATGATAATTACAAATATTACTGTATGATTGTTCTAATTTCGGCACAGGTCCAGAAGTAAATTCCAAGTTCACTATACAGGGTGGACCAAGATTCATTTCGTTGTATGTGCGCAGCAGAAATTCCTTTTTAATAGATCCTTTAACGAAAACCATATCGACACCTTCCAATTCCTCCTGTATTATGTTATACATCGCTTTATAGGGTAAATACCCTGAATTATAAGGGATTCCATGAACATTGTGAAATATATAATTTATCGTCTTCTTATGGTGTATCGGCAGATCGTGGTAACAAATCTTCGGTTTAAATGTATAGGTTTTCATTTCTTTTCCATCGTATATGGATAATTCCTTAACCTCAAATTCAGGTATGGAAAATCCTTGTACGTCTATAACAACGAACTTCATCGTATCAATGTCTTGCAACAACTGACGCCTTTCTCTACCGACTCTACACTACACTAGGAGAAGTTTCGAGAGTATTAACACTTGTTTTTGAAAACTATATGCTTTTATGAAAAAATCCATTCCTTTTATAGCCAAAAATCCCCACAATTTTTCCCTTACAACCAATCAGCAAGCGCTAACCACCTCTCAGTTTGCGTCAAAAACAATAACGCTCGATGTGCGCATATTTTCCTCTTAGAGTTAAACCAATCAGAGCGCTCCAATGAATTTACAATAAACAGACAAACGTATTGCAAAAACATTGTAGTTTTGTGTGTCTATCTGGTAAGTCAACCTTTTTTACATAAAAATTAAATTCGCAAAGGTTCTTTTAGGGTTTTAAACCGATTTATATGGGTAATTTTGTTTTTCTACTAAATAAAAAACGAGAAATAATTTTAATTATATTTATTTAGGAAACATAATATATAATTATATAAAATAGACTTATACAATATTTTGAGTTATAATTTTATTTAACAATACTTTTAGTTTCTCTAATATACTAATATTCGGACAAGATATTCCAAAGAAATCCAAGCTAAGTTTACCGGTTACTTTTAAACTATTGGAAAATTCATCATAACCATAATAATGCCCATTATAAAGGAAATAAATTATGCCATCGGTGTACCGAAATACAGAGTCTATTTTACTAGGCACTCCTGTAAATTGCTCAGTTATGAGAGCGGTGCTTTTAGGTAAAAACCGACAATCATCAATTTCGCTAAACATATTATTATCGAAAAACCAGTACGTTTTACCACGGTACGAATTGACGACCCCTCGTATGGCTGGATAATTCTGCATAAGAACATTATAATGCTCGCGTTTAAGCAACCTAAACGAGGCGTATTCGAAAATATAAACCATACTTTCACTGAATAATACAATTTCGTTATCTGGTTTTTGATAAATACCCGATATTTTTTCAAAAGGTGTATGTAAAAATGTTAACCAATCAGTTATTACAAGCGGTGTATCTTGAATTTCCCTAGTGTTTAAATTTAACATCCACACGTACTTTTTATAAAACAAGTAAAGTTTATTATTCACAATTAGAAACGAGGTATTTGACATCTTAGAATTTAAATCACATAATTTGGGAACTTTTAAATTGATTCCTTGCGTGTTCGGCGTTGGGATAGTCGTCGTTGTCTTCGTGGTTGTCGTAGGCATCGTTTTTGTTGTCTTCATGGTTCTCACCGTGGTTCTAGCCGTTGTCACTACCGGTTTGGAACCGTATAACTCTTGAATTGCCAATATATCATCTTGCGATAGTTTCGTTGTGTTTTCAAACACCAAAGACGGGTACATTATAGATTCGTAGTTTGCAGAATGCGCTATACCAAGGACGTGACCTATTTCATGTGTTAAAACTCTCAACAGACTTGTAGCGCCTTCCGGGACCGGTTCCTCATCCAAATACCAACTTAAACTTTTTTGTATGTGAACTTCCTCGGTCGTGGACATTAAATCGGGGAAATAGGCATGCCCCAGTATCATTCCTCCTGTTGGAAATGGGCACCAATCCCTATTATTAATTCTTCGGAACGTATGGTTTGCTTCCGTAAATGAAATCACTATATTTACAGAAATATTTTTTTTCGAGTACGGGTTAACATACTCAAACTGCAAATTGCTATTGGCAGACCACATTTCGAAAGCCTGTCTCGTTATTCCTACATATTTTTGTCTATGTGGAAGATATGCGGTTGATGGAGGGTAAACTGTCCACTTTAGAATATTAGTATTCCATTTTCCTTGTTTGCTATTGTGAAGGGTATAGTAATTATCAGAAGTTCCACACCAATACCTCTGTATAAAAGAAACGGTTTGGGGGTTCAATGTTCCATCCTCTGGTAGATTATATATAGCCTGAAACTCGCTTAAACCATCAGCCAATGATTCTAGGTTCTGGACGTCTGCTGATTCATTATTATGAAAATACCCGTGAAATCGTAAGAAAGTCTGGGCTTCTTCTTGTGTTAGCTCACCACCACTTGCGGGGTGGGTAAGCACCACTGTCACTATCGCTAAAATAACGTACATGTTGTTCAGACAAGATTAGACTGTCAACTGAATGTAAGTAGTTTGTTAACCACCATATATATGTTTAGGGTCTATATACCACTTCTAAACGTTCAAGTTCCCTTAAAATCTTGAAAATATCCTCTTTTTTTCCCTGGGTCTGATCCAGTACATACAGCCTATCAACCAGTTCATTAATGTCATCATATTCCAGAGGAGGAGAACTATTGTTTAAGACTTGTTCGTTTATATCCTGGCTTCCTTGTTGTTGTTTTAAGTTTGTGCTCTTCCTTGCCGGTGGAAATAGTTTAGAAATAATATTTACATATTTCCAGCTCTTGCTTGAATTAATGTGTTTATCCCGATTAAACTGACGCCTATGTGCGTTTGTCAATAACAGTATAAACTTATAATTCTCTAAATCTATTTCGGAGTATTCAGTAGGATGTGATTGAGTAAGAAGATTCAATAATCCGCTCGTCAATTCAAATTGTTCATCTTTAATCGCTAGATACCCATCATCATATTGAACTTTAACTGGTTCGTTACCAATAAGCAGACGTTTGTTCACTCTCCTAATACCAAATACATTTCGGTGTGGTATATCCAAGAGTTTTAACCTATAGCGTTGTCGTTCCATGACCGATAACGTACTAATGATACCTTTCATAAGAATATGTAGTATTTATACCCAACACTACAGTAAAGCAACAGGAACACTACAGTAAAGCAACAGGAACACTACAGTAAAGCAACAGGAACACTACAGTAAAGCAACAGGATCATGACAATAAAGCAACACAGATCTGATTGGAACAGATCTGATTGGAACGGCCCGTTTACCTGATTGACCCGATTGAACGGACCCCTAACGTTGACTTAGGTACATATTTTAAAAATCCACTAGTATAAGCTCCTTTACCGATAGTTTAAAAAATTAATTACTATATGCTACTGGGTAATTTAACAGAAAATATAGTGTGGAAAAATTAATAATTACATAAAAATATTTTTTGAATATATACCATGTGTGAAAAAAGTATATATGGTGTAAAAGCAATACGTGATGAAATCACCGCTCGGTTTTAGCTATAAATATTTAAGTAAAATTAAACTTTGTGCATAGGTCTTATCTACATCCGCAGGATGCCGGATGTAGATAATTATATCAGAAATTTTTGAAAGGGAATGATGCTTCTACCCACTAATGAATAGTTAGCCGGATGTAGATAATTATATCAGAAATTTTTGAAAGGGAATGATGCTTCTACCCACTAATGAATAGTTATCTACATCCTCCGGATGCCGGATGTAGATAATTATATCAGAAATTTTTAAAAGGAAATGATGATTCTACCCACTAATGAATAGTTTGTGGGATGTTGTGGTTTTTGAAAGGATATGACGTACTTTGAACTTGTATATGTTTTTTTCTTTTCAGGTACCTAGCGAGATATCCCGATTGTGCATCCTTTCTGAACCTGCCCTATAAAAGGTTATAAATAAAACGTTGTCGATTGAAAAGAAGTGTTAGTTTTGATTTGGCTCTTGAAGAGTTAAGACGTGTTTAAAGTGTGTCTCTCTCTTTTTTTAGTGTGATGTCTTTTGTCGTTGACCTTATTAAGCATATCGCTGCCTTACTTGGATTTTTTCGGGAGAAAGGTAACGATGAACTTCTTCGGGAAGGACTTTGTGCGTGTACAAGAGCTACTAGGCATATTAACAAAGCGTTAAAAAAAGCATCGACTGTTGCCGAAAAGCAACAATTACAAGCGGCTCTCATTAATGTAAAAACTTTAAGGCAACAATTTAAATTAAGACAAAAGAAAGGGGCGGGTCTCAATAAAAAGAAAGCGACTGCCTGTTCTCGCGTCAAATGGGAAGATTTGCACTCTGCTTTCGATTCTCGCGTTCGAACGGGCGTTATTATCAACCTTCATCATACGGATCCGAAACTGTTTTTGAATGACTGTAAGGCCTTGTTCAAAAGACGAATTCAGAATATGCTGAAAAAGGTTGATGCCTTGAAGATTAATGGTGTGTTTTCTGGAGAGTTTACTATGAATAAAGCAGATCAGGTAAAGAGTGAGTTAAAATATTTAAATACTAAAAACGGAATAATTTATAAAGATACTAATTTGGAAAATTGGTTCGTAAATAATATTCAAGATATTTTGTTAGTCGAATTGGAAGAATTTCAGGAAAAAGATAGCGGTTGGGCGTTATCAGAAATTAAAAATTTAACTGTGAATATAAATAAATATAATCCTTTAAGAGCAGGTACCTTTATCGATCTTCCCACACAAATTAAAAGAAAAGAGGCTTGTGTAAATGTACAAAATTCCGATGATATGTGTTTTGCGTGGGCCGTACTATCATATCTGTATCCTGCACCATCAAAAATTGCTGATAGAACTTCTTCTTACCCAGATCCTCAAAAAGTACTTAATTTAAAAGGCATTCAATTTCCTATGACTCTTAAACAAATTCCCCGATTTGAAAAACAAAATAATTTATCGATTAATGTATACAGGTTGGAACAATTAAATAAATCTTTCAACGTTATTCCTACTCATCTAACTAAAAATAAACTAGAACGGCATATCAATCTCCTTATGATACAAGACAATTATTTCAGTTCGGATAACGAGGAGCAAATATTTACTCCTGTTAAATTTCATTATGTATGGATCAAAAATTTATCGCGTTTAGTTTCAAGCCAGATAAACAAGAAACATGGAAAAAAAATTATATGTGACAGGTGTCTTCACTATTTCTATGATGAAGACAAATTAAATTTACATTTAAAAGACTGTATAAACCATAATAGTGGCCCTCTTCCAAAACTTCCACAAAACGATAAAAAGTGGATTGAATTTAAAGATTTTTCATTTAAAACTAAAGTTCCTTTCACAATTTATGCCGACTCTGAATGCCTTTTAATACCCACCGAAGATAACAAAACTAAAAACACTCAAAAATATCAATCACATATACCGTTTAGCGTAGGATACTATGTTAAATGTGATTACGATGATTCGCTCTCGTTTTATAAATCGTACACAGGACCGGACTGTATTGAATGGTTTGTTAAAGAACTGTTTGATTTCGCCGAAAATGTGGAAACGGTTTTCCTTTGCGATTTGCCTATGGATCCCTTAACACAACAACAAACGCGAGCTTTTTTAAATTCTAAATTATGTCATATATGTGAATCTCCTTTTAATACCGATGATAAAAAAGTTAGAGATCACTGCCATCTAACGGGGAGATATCGAGGTGCGGCCCATGAAAAATGCAATTTAAATTTTCAAGATAAACATATAGTCCCCGTTTTATTTCACAACTTTAGTTCGTACGACGGACATCTGCTGATTAAGGCCCTGGCAGAAGTAGAAGGATCTATTGATGTATTGCCCGTCAATAAAGAAAAATATATATCAGTAACTAAACATGTGCCCGGAAATTTTGTTCAATTTAGGTTTCTAGATAGTTTTAGATTCATGGCATCAAGCCTGGATACTTTAGCTTCTAATCTATCGGAATATCCAATTCTAAAGTCGGAATTTCCACACTTAAACGAAGAACATTTCAATTTGCTTACTCGAAAAGGTATTTTCCCATATGATTTCATGGATGATTGGAATAAACTGAATGAAACTCAACTACCTCCTAAACCCGCCTTTTACAATAAATTAAATGATTCATATATCAATGATAAAGATTATGCGCATGCTAAAACAGTTTGGAATATTTTTAATTGTCAAAATATGCGTGATTATTCAGAACTGTATATGAAAGTAGATATTCTTTTACTGGCTGATATCTTTGAGCAGTTTAGAACTACGTCCCATAAAACTTATTGTTTGGATCCAGCTCACACTTATACTCTTCCCGGATACGCTTGGCAATGTATGTTATTTCAAATGAGGAAATCTGATATTAAAAAACTTGAACTCCTTACAGATTTGGATATGGTACTCTTCATTGAAAAGGGAATTCGGGGCGGTCTGAGTCAATGCTCGAAAAGGTACGCTGAAGCGAACAATAAGTACATTCCATCGTACGACTCCTCTAAAGACGAAACCTATCTTATGTATTTCGATATTAATAATCAATACGGGTGGGCCATGTCACAATACCTTCCATATGGCGGTTTTAAATGGCTTAACGAAAATGAAATTTCAAATTTAAATATTCAGAATATTAGCAATGAGTCAAATAAGGGATATATATTAGAAGTCGACCTGTATATTCCATCCGAGGTGCATGATTTCTTTTCTGATCTACCCCCTTGTCCTGAACATGATATACCTAAAGGGTCTAAAAATTCTAAATTATTAGCCACGTTATATGATAAAAAAGAATATGTTGTTCACTATAAAAATTTACAACAAGCTTTAGCTTTAGGCGTTAGAGTAAGAAAAATTCATCGTGTTTTAGAATTTAATCAGTCTCCCTGGTTAAAATCGTATATTGATTTAAACACACGGCTCAGGCAAGCTTCAAAAAATGATTTTGAAAAGAATTTGTTTAAATTGATGAACAACGCGGTTTTCGGTAAAACCATGGAAAATATCCGGAAGCATTCTTCTGTTAAACTTATAACAATGTGGGAAGGTCGATACGGGGCGGAATCGTTAATTTCAAGACCTGAATTTAAAAGCAGCACCATAATTAATGAAAACCTTATAATAATTGAATTATCTAAATCTGAAATATATTTTAATAAACCAATTTATGTGGGAATGTGTATTTTGGATTTGGCGAAAACCACAATTTACGATTTCCATTATAATTATATGAAAAAAACTTTTTCCGATTGTACCGTTCTGTATACTGATACCGATTCGCTGATTTATGAAATTAAAAATCAAGACGTCTATGACGTAATGAAACGAGATTGTTCGCTGTACTTTGACACCAGCGACTACTCTCCAGATAATATTTATAGTATTCCTCTAGTAAATAAAAAAATTCTCGGTATGATGAAGGATGAAAATAACGGACGTATTATGACTCATTTTGTTGGCCTTCGATCTAAAATGTATGCAACAAAATTATATTATACACCTATGGAGCTAGAACAGAAAGAAATCGCATTTGAAAAAAAGGGGGAAGAACAACAAGAAATTGAAAATTATCTGAAAAACATTGGTTTAACAAAAAAGATTAAGGGGGTTAAAAAATCTGTTATTAAAAATTGTATTACATTTGATGATTACGTTGATTGTTTGAAGAGTTGTAATGAAAAAATAATTTCACAGACGTTAATACGATCTAGTAAGCATAATATTTATACCATAAAGCAGTCGAAAATTGGGTTAAGTCCCCATGACGATAAGAGACATCTAATTAAGGGCTCTGTTCAGACTTTACCGCATGGGCATTGCTCCATAATGGATACTTAGTTTATTATATATGTATGTTTGTATGTATGAATGAGTACGTGTGCATGTGTATAATTAAAAACAAATTATTATTAGTTAAAAAATATAAAAAAATTATATGAAAAAAAAATAAATGGTAATAACAATAAAAAAAAATAAAAAAATAACAAAAAAATAAAATAAAAAAATAAAAAAAGAAAATAATAAATATTTTAGGTGAATTAAACTTTAGATTTGTGTTGGTATAGTTGCCTATATACAAATTTTAGGTAAAATAATGAACCACCTAGATTTTATTGGCGAATTAAAGAGCCGTCTGGATTAATTTTTAGATCTGTGCTCGTGCTGCCTACTCCTAGTAATTTGTTTGGAGTGAATGAGTGTGTGAATGTGTCCCCAGCAATGTAGCTATGCCTTGACGCGGCGTTGGGGCTTAAGATTGTTTTTGTAGTAAAATTATTATTACGAAAGCAACCAACTAAATTAGCTACACACCTCGTATATTAATCTTATTCTACACACCTCGTATATTCCAAGTACTGGTGTTATCAGTTGTTTCCTGTTGGCCTTCACATTATATTTTTAGCTACAAAATCATCTGTTTGTTTCTAACTTTTCATGGTACTGCATCAAGAAAATTACTGTGTATTTTCAGTGCGTTTAGTGAAAAAAGGACTATTGCATCAGTGCATGTGTTGAGTGGCTGGATAATAATACATATAAACCTCGTAAGTACGTATTTTTAGTAATACGCTTTGTTTTTTGATTTAATACTCTTAAATTTATTTTCGTTTCGATAAATATTAAAGTTTTTTACATTACAAAGGGTTTTTCTGTTTATTTCTACCGCCGTCTAGTGATTTTTGGCGCGCTGATTTTGACGTTTGACCGCGATGTTTACCGCTATTATTGTCCTTGTATATATTTTAAAAAAATTTCTGTTGGAGCTTGCGCTTAGAGCCACACCTAGTTGACGTTTGACTTAATACTTTTTTAAATTATTTTTATTGTTAGATTCTCGGAATTGTTTGCTTTTTAGTCTCATCTCTAAATTTTATTCTTATAGCGTTAAGTACTTGCTGTAATTTTTCTGTTTATTTCGGAGCTTGCGCGTCACACCTAGTTTTTTTTGGCGCGCTGATTTTGACGTTTGACTGCAGCGATGTTTACCGAAGTTAAACGATGGGCTATTGTCCTTGTATATATTTTTAAAAAAATTTCTGTTGGAGCTTGCGCTTAGAGCCACACCTAGTTGACGTTTGACTTAATACTTTTTTAAATTATTTTTATTGTTAGATTCTCAGAATTGTTTGCTTTTTAGTCTCATCTCTAAATTTTATTCTTATAGCGTTAAGTACTTGCTGTAATTTTTCTGTTTATTTCGGGGCTTGCGCCTAGAGCCACACCTAGCGTCGATTTTGACGTCAATGTTTGACAGATGACGTTTAATCTCTGTTTTTAACAATGCCTTTTTGTTTAATGCTCTTAAATTAATTAATCGCTATGTTTTGCATTAGATTTTTAATTTTTTTCTATTTATTTTGGAGCTTGCGCGCCACACCTAGTAATTTTAGCGTCAATGTTTGACAGATGACGTTTAATCTTTTAGTAAAGAAATGTCTTTTGGTGTAATACTCTTAAAATTAATCGTTATGTTTTGCATTAGATTTTAAAAATTTTTCTGTTTATTTCAGAGCTTGCGCGCCACACCTAGTTGACATTTGACGTTTGACTTAATACTTTTAATCTTTTAGTAAAGAAATGTCTTTTGGTTTCTTAAATTAATTTCAATACCCCCACAATCGTTATGTTTTGCATTATAATATGTACATATTTTTGAATTTTTTCGGTTTACTTTGGAGCTTGCGCTTAGAGCCACACCTAGTTGACATAGTTGGCGTTTGACATTTAATCTTTGTTTTGATTCCCAATACTCTGTCGTTATGTTTTTATAATAAATCATTTAGCTATACGTATATATTTTATTACTATTTTTGCTAAACTATCCTATAAACTATTAATTAGTGGGGCTTGCGTGCGCGCTACAAAAGACAGTGCCACACCCCAACGCGCTTACGATACCAACCGATGTTTGCCGAAGTCAACTTTGTTTACCTAAACTTTTTCCTTTTGAATTACATCTAATTACTTTGCGCTTATTAGGGTCTTATTGTTAATATCTATAGGTACTTACCTTGCGCCGTCGCCGCCGCTGCTGCCGCCGTATCCTCCTCCTCCTAAACAGAGCTGATGTAGACGGAATAGCTATTGTGTAAGTAAATAATATTTTTAATCTACGCTATTATTTTATTTTTGATAAATTATTAAGTCTTATTAAAATGATGATGAATGTGCTAACATTTTTTATTAAATTACTAAACAGTCTTGACAAAATGGTGGATGCGCTAATAAAAATTTAATTTAATTAACCTATATGTTGGGGGCCTCCTGAGGGCGCAGGACTAGGTGTTAGGTATATGGCATATGATGAATGGCGCTCGTATATGGTATTTGACTTGTGTACGAACGAAATTAACACTAATTAATTATAGATGGACAAAACTATAGGTATATCTCCAAGTTTTTTTTCAAACGTCACAAAAGTAGGTATTAATTTTTACGACGTTATTGGTAATATAAAAAAGTAATTTTAACGCCTAGGCATTAAGGTATTATAACCATTCTATGTATAAAGTATGGTTATTCTCGTTGAATTTGACACTTTATGTCAGTTTAATAATAGGTAAATTTTCTTACTTTTATGCTTAGGGGTAAAAGTGCTTTATGCCTATGCGTCAAAATAACTTTTTTATATTGTTAATCACGTCCCAAAAATTAACGCTTTTGTGACATTTGAAAAAAAAAATATTTTATTTGGAACGTTTAAAATTGAAAAATACAAAATTTTCATTTTTAAATGTTCTAAATAATACCGGGTGCGTCTCAAAAATGGTATAACTTTTTTATTTTTTCAGATAAAAAAACGAGATTTGGTATGTTAGTATATGACATAAATTAGGACTGATTGACGTATTGAATTGTTTTTGGTCACTTCCTGTTTCACCGGAAATGACTTCAACTTTTGGTTTTTAAATGGCACCCTCGGTATTTTTTTGCTTTATTCGATAGAAAATGACAATTTGAATAGAATGACACATCATATGCCAACTTTTGACATTCTCGCTTAATAAAAAATCGTATTTTAAAATTCAATCTAGAGTGCCATGGCTATGTTAAAAACACTAATCCTTAATCAAGGAGCCTTGGAAAAATAGATTTGATCGTCTAATGCTTTTAGTGTCTAGTTCTGGCCAGTTAGAAAATGCTCAAATCGTATTTTTAATCATATCTCAATTTTTTTCAAATGGAATGAGGGTGGTTTATTAGCATATTTGGAAAAAGCATTTTTTTGCGAATAATTTGATACCACACACTTGGTATTTCGAGTCAAATTTTCGTAACGAACCGTTAGTTATAATTTCAGATAAACCATATGCAAAAATGTCAAAAGTTGACATATGATATGTCAGTGTATTCAGAGTGTTATTATCTATCGAATAAAGTAAAAAAATACCGAGGGTCCATTTAAAAATCAAAAATTGTAGTCATTTCCTGTGAAACAGGAAGTGACCGAAAACAATTGAATACGTCAATCAATCCCAATTTATGTCATATACTAACATACCAAATCTCGTTTATTATTTAACTGAAAAAATTAAAAAGTTATAGGGGTGAGCCACTTTTGAGACGCACCCGTTATAATTTTTTTTTGGCAAAAACTCATAGACGCGTTCCTGAAGTTGAAATATACCACCCCTAAAATACGTGCGCTTATTTAAGACTCATCCTGTATATAACTAATATCTAGTTTAATTCTATAACTTTATTTTCGTAAATCTTACTTTTATCCCTTTCTATAAACCGAACACTAAAAACTAAAATCTCTATACACTTAGTAGTATATTTCCCAAATATTAAACCAAAACAAAACAAACACTAACAAATTAATAACTCCAACGCGCGCGTGGGCTTCAAAACTTCGAAAAAATCGCAAGTACTCCTCGACTGAGTACGACCGATGGTGACATTTCACCGAAACGTCGCGCCGAATAGCGGTACAACCACTGGACACTGGACTGGAGCACCGATGGTAAAAAAAGTAAAAGTCAGCCTCTTGTTTTGGTCGGAAGATGGTCAGGTAATTAGGGGCCTTCGCCCATAATAATGAGTGCGCCAAACCGTGACACCCATAGGGGTTATACGGTACATGCGTATGTCTGATGAGTTTAAAAAAATATGCAGTGGTCTAGACGTTGAATGAAAACAGGAATATTACAATTAAACGTCTTCTTAAAAATGTTTTCTTTAATATAATGATAATTTAGGTTGGTAAGTATAATTAGTCAAAAGTCATCTTCTTCTTCTTAAAGTGCCTATCCTCTTTGGATGTTGGCTATCACATTGATCCATATTACTTTGTTCACTGCCGTTCTGAACAAAGCTGTTGACGTCAATCCGGTCCATGTTCGTATATCTCTCAGCCACGATATTCGTCTGCGTCCCGCTGATCTTCTGCCTTCTATTTTCCCCTGCAGTATGAGTTGGAGTAGGCGGTATTTCTCGTTCTGCATGATGTGTCCGAAGTATTCTAGTTTTCTTCGTTTGACATTTACCAGAAACTCCAACTCCTTGTTGATGCGATGTAGTACAGTCTCATTTGACACGCGATGCACCCACGAAATCCTAAGCATGCGCCGATAGCACCACATCTCAAATGCCTCCACACGCTTGCATGATGCGTCGGTAAGGGTCCACGCCTCTGCTCCATATAGAAGGGTTGAGAGCACGTAGCATCTCAGGATTCTGATTCTAGTGCGGACGTTGAGGGACAGGTTGCATAGTATATTTCGCATTTTGTTAAATGTCCCTCTCGCGATTTCGATTCGGTGTTTTATTTCGCGAGAGTGGTCCCAGTCTTTAGTCAGGGTGCAGCCCAGGTATGCAAATGTCTCGGCCGCTGGGAGAACGATGTTGTTAGCAGTGAACTGAAAGTTGTTGATGTAGTTCTTGCTAATGATCAACGTTTGAGTCTTCTTGCAGTTCATCTTCATTCCGTATCTGCTGCATGTATTCG